AATCAATGATTCTTTCTCATCATTGATCTTTCTCTTTTTCTCTCTGTCTCTCTTCCTCTCTGAAATCAATAATGTACAGCCAGGAATGTTCCAAAATCAGTGAGCTTTAGTGTCCTTGCATCCCAGATAGAGCTCCTAAAAAGAATAGTAATAACTGCCCTCTCTGTGTCACTGAGTTGAGGATCAAATAAAAGAAAACAGATAAAAGTACTTTACAGTATGTAAATGCACAGTAATTATTAAAGTAAGCATTACTAAAGGGCTTAGCTATTGTTATCATGCAAATGGCAGGGATTAGCATTAGGGTATTAATTCTGTTGCTGGAGTTCTAACCTTTTCAGATAAAATTCACTTGCTGTACACGGCAATTTACTTCTGCAGAGACTCCCAGTGCTGCTCTATGACCCAGTGTGGGCTTAATAACATACGTTGACTCACTGATTATTCCTAATAAACACAATCCTTCAAGTTTTTTCGTAGCATGTATCCTCACCACATACCTGTTTATCCCTTTGTGCCACAGCTTGTAAACGCATCAAACTGTGGGATAAACTCTCCTAATATTTATGTAGTGGGGGAAAAAATCAACTATTTCTCAAATGTATCTTATTCCATCAAGAATTCCTAATTAACCTTCATCTAACATAGTATCTTTTAAGGACTTAATTTATCTTTTTAAAATCTGACTTATCTTACTTAGTATAATAACCTCTAGGTCCGTCCACTGGTCACAAATTGTAAGATTTTATTCTTTCTTATGGCTGAGTAATATTCCATTGTATATATGTACCTCAAAGTCTTTATCCAATCATCTACCGATGGACACTTAGGTTGTTTCCATATCTTGGCTATTGTAAATAATGATGCAATAAACACAGAGATACATATATCTTTTCAAAGTAGTGTTTTGGATTTCCTTGGATAAATACTCAGAAGTGAGATTGGTGGGTCATATGGTTTCACTTATATGTGGAATGTATAAAATAAGTGAGCAATCAAAATAGAAACAAACTCATAGATACAGAGAACAATCTGATAGTTGCCAGATGGGAGGGAGGTTGGAAGGTGGGTGAAAAGGTGGAGGGATTAAAAAGTACAAATTGGCAGTTACAAAATAGTCATGGGGAAGTAAAGTACCTCAGAGGGAATATAGTCACTAATACTGTAATAACTATGTACGGTGTTAGGTGGGTGCTAGACTTATATGGGAAATGACTTCATAAATTATATAGGTGTCTAATCACTATGCTATACACCTATAATACTGAATGTCAACTGTAATTGAAAACTAAAAACATTTTAAGAGATAAAATAATATTAGGTTTCCTCCAGTGGTTATCTTTCTTTAGATATTTTCATGCTTTGACTCTTTGGTACACTTTTATCTGTTCAACTGTTCTACTAGGACTATCTCTGACCATTGCAGTTTAGGTAATAGACACTTGTTATTTTCCCAATAGAGTTGGAATAAGTCACACCTTGAATTCTGAAACTGGCCCACTGTGGTCTCTTCTTTGGATGAGCAGAGATGTATTTAACATGGACTTGTAGATGTGATTTTCATGAACTCAAAGCTTGCCTGAAACATCTCTGTGTCTGGGGAGTGTACTTGCTGCCACGAGGCTGCTCTTCGGGACTGAGTGTGAGGAATCCAGGCCGATGACTGATGGTGACAAGCACCAAGAAGGGTTGTCACTGCAAGGATTTGCACCCATTCAGCATCTCCATGCTCCCCGGAAAATACATCTTGGCAAAGGAAAAAGAAAAAAAACCACTCTGGGATTCCTCCAGTATCTGCATTCCCCCCCCCCCCCCCCCCCCCCCCCCCCATGATTTCTGACATTTCCATTGTCAAAGTCTGGGAATTGCCTCTAAGAGAAGAAAGGCTTCTTTCTTTAGGAGTTACTTGAAGTGATGAACAACTATCAAGAATTAAGCAACTACTACTTATTCATGAAACAAATAGTTGAATTTCAGTGAAGAACTAGCTCTTTTGGAATTAGACATGCAGACTGTGGCACATACTTTTCTGCTTATACGGTAAGCATAGGAGATAATGCAGTTGAGGAAATATTTTGTATATATATATATATATATATATATATACACACACACGCACACACACAGAGATAGTTACATTTATATATATATGTAGTTAAAATGATAGGTTTACAAATGAGGGTCTGATTTTTAAATTTTTTTCAAGGGTTGTTAAAAACAAACAAAAAGAACCAAAGAATTTATGTGTTAGAGACCACAGGGCACACAGGCCTAAAATATTTATTATCTGGCCCTTTATAGAAAACGGCTGCTGACCTCTGAACCACGTGGAAAGTACCAATAATAGAGCTCACTCAATTTTTACTTCCACCAAGAAGGAGTACATTGTCTTCTTTCCTCGGAGGGATTAATTTCCACTTGTAATATCAGTCTTCACAGCCCTTCTTAAAAGAGAATGAGAAGCCTCGGTTAGCTGACTCTGAAATAGAATTCTCTGCCCCCAGCCACTCTCTGTAGTAGCTGCTCTTGCATCAGAGCTGCCACCCTTGGCCCCTGTGGGTGCCACTGCTCTCACTCTCCCAGACGGCTCCCCGGCACCATGGCCAGCCCCCGCTTTGCTGCACACCTTCTTTGACCTTGGCTTTCTGGCCAAGTAATGATTGCCTTCTAATTGCTCTTGGGAATCTGCTGTGCTACACTGCCCTAATTTTTCGCTGGCTTTCACACTTGAGGGCCCCTCTTCTGCATCCCTTTCTCTACCTTCTCGCCCACAATCTCAGGTCTGTTAAAGGCAGGTGCCTTCCAAATGTAGGTAATAGTTCTACCCTTCACCATCAATTGCTCTTGTCTAGGCCCAGTTTTCTTGCTGGTTTCAAAGCGGGTCCAGTTCTGTGCCCTGCGACAGATTATACCAGAGAGAGGATTTCTGGGTGGTTTCCTTCACTAGGCCAACTGAGGCATTTTTGGAAGCAGTATTTATCCAAGGTAAGTCCATTCTAAACGACGTAGTGAGAATAATCTGATGCATATGTCCCTTAAAGAATATTTCATTCTGTTTTTAACCTCCCGTTAGCTCAATACATGGTTTCAGGACTCAACTTGCCATAAAGTTTCCTGAGTGAGACTGCTCCTTTTCTGACTCACTAGCTCATTTACTGACACATCATCCTGCCCTCAGGCCTGCCGATAATCATTAAAATTCTGTAAACAAATGCAGTCTTTTTTATGATAGCGCAGCAGACAACATCCTCCTTCGTCAACACACCCACATGGAAATTAGCTTTTCACTGGTGGGTGGTCAGTTGGCTCGGGCTGACTCACAGCTTTCATTTTGGGAATAGGCTTTGAGAAGCTGCCACTCAACTGCAACAGATGCCTTTCAAGTAACTTTGGGCATCTTTTTTTGCCTTTCATTTCCTTCTCCCTTCTCAGTTCTTGTACCCTTCCCTTCTCCCAAGCCCCTCTTCGATGATATTATTTCATTACGTCATGTAAACTGGGAACACCCGGTGCCAAGAACGCTGACCTGCTAGTAGGAACTACAGGGAGGTGGTGGGAGTCATTCATTCATGGCATGTTTTCTGACACCCTTCTTTGTGCTACAGACACCACGCTTGGCTCCAGGGAAACACGATTGAGCCAAAAGGAAAATGTTGCTGCCTTCACTGGGGGGAGGCAGCATCAGTTGTAGGTTTTTATGAATAATAAATGTGCGATAAATTAATATCCTAGCTCTGATAGAGAGAGGAAGAACTCATATTAGTGTTTAGCTCCCTCACAGCTGTGATCTCTGATCCCCTTCTGTGTGCATGTCTCTCTCCCTGTTTCCCCCTCCCTTCCCTTCCCCTTCCTCTCCCTCTTTGTTAAATCGGGGTGGAGAAAATGGCTAACCACACCAAGGCCTGTCCTTGGCTGCATTGCTACCGTGCTTGATGCCAGTGGAATTCTTGATTTCCCCAAAGTAGGTGCTATCATCTCCATGTTAAATACCAATAATGGAGTAAGACAACATTGCTATTGCCCAGACTGTCATGGGAAGGGCGAATCAATGCATATTTGCAGTATGGAGCCTAGAGGCGGAAATTATCCACAGCCCCTCATTGAAAACCATCAGGTTTAGCTAAGGCTGCTAACCCACCTAAACCAGGGATTCTGGATTTACCAGGATTGGATCTCAGATGTGGAGATGCATGCCACATGGTGAAAAAAATACACAAAACACACACACACACACACACACACACACACACACACACACACGATGCATATCCTAAGCCAGGTGCCACACACTGGGTCTCCAATTCCTTTTTTTTTTCTTCCCCGCCAGAAATTCCTAAATCCCTTAAGATATGCCCAGGTATACTTTCTGAACTTTTGAGCAAACATCTTCAGCTTCTGTTTCCCCCGCAGAGCCCCCAGGCCCAGGCCCAGGAACAGAGGCCTGGGCGGAGCGCTCCCCCACCCCCTCCCTGTGCCAGGGATCCCTGCGAGGGGGTCTGACTGGGGGGGAGGGGGGACGCTCAGCCCGCCACACGTGAACATGCTTCCTGAATGAGCAGCCGCGCTTTTTTTGCATCCCCGCTGCCACCCCTCCTAGTTATTTGCAGTTAGGAAATGAAGGAAGGGTTAAGGAAGATATGCTTGGTCTCAGTGTATTCCTGCAGGAGGAGGGAGCTGGACTAGAGCGCGGTGTGGGGCAGTGGAGGAGGACGAGGCAGGTCGATTTCTCTGCAGCTCATCCTCTCTGTCTCTGGCCTGGAAGCCTCATTCTTTCTTTCCTCCCGGCTGATCCCCGACTGACAGCTCCCCTCCCCCCGCCTCTCGAGGTGCCGCCGCCGCCCGGAGGCCGCCGGGGTTGCTGCATCACGCTGCTGCTTTTCCCTCCCCCTGCCTCTGCCCTCGCGACGGCGCATGCGCGGTGCGTCCCGTGCCCGGCAACAGCATCAGCACCAGCATCAGGACCGGAGCCGCGCGCGCCCGCCCGCCGCGCGCGCCCGGGGACAGGGAGCCGGCCCGCCCGCGTGCCCGCCGCGCGCTCCCGTGCCGGCTCCGCATCCTCAGCCCCGGCAGCAGCCCCCGCAGTCGCGACCGCGCCCGCTGCAGGGAGGGAGGAGCCTCTGGGGAGGTTCCAAGTTGGCGGAGCCACTGGGACCCCCCCCCCCCCCCCCGACTCTCCGGCGCTGCTCGGGGAGGGCCCGAGGCGCGAGCAGCAGGGCAGGGGGCACCGCCTCGTCCCAAGTCCCCGAGCCCTGAGCCCTGACCCCTGCCCGCGGCCGCACGATGCGCGCTGAGCCGGCGTGACCGGCTCCGCCCGCAGCCTCCCCGCAGCTCAGCCCGGCGCTCTCCCCGTCCCAGCGAGCGGCGCCCGGAGCTATGAGCCATGAGCCCGCCCGGCGGCAGCAGCGCCCGGCGGCCGCCCCCCGCGGGCTGCAGCTTCCCGGGAGCCTCCAGCGACCCCCGCGGCCCGGCGCCCGCCCGCGCCCCGGCCCGCGCGCCTCCCGGCCGCCTGCTCGTCCTGCTCCTGCTGCCTCCTCTCGCCGCCGCGTCCTGGCCCCGCGCCTGGGGGGCTGCTGCACCCAGCGGTGGGTATGGCCCCGGTGCCCTTTGCATTGCCTTGCCTGCGGGGCCCTGCAAAGGAAGAGAAAGGACGCGCGGGTCCGTGCGCTCCTGACACGTCCCGAGCTCGGCCTTTCCGCACCTCCCTGCCCGCCTGCCTCCTCTCCTCATTCTCAGACCCCACTTAGCCCACTTCACTTTTGGAAGTTCATTGGCGTTGCATTCACTAAAAAAAACCACCCATTCTGGTGGCTGCCGGTCCCACTGGAAGGGACCTAGTGGGCGCTGGGCCCCTCTGTGCAACTTGGCCGAGGGGAGCCCGGCGGGTGGGGAATGCAATGAGGGTGGAGGAGCCTGCCTGGGGATGCGGAAGGGTGTCCTGATCATAGTGGGAATGTGTTTTCCTCAAATCCCCTTCTGGGTTCATCCCCTGCTGTTGGACTAAAAGTGGGGAAGAGAAACTTTGGAGATATAAGCCTTTGGTTTGTAATTTCTCAAAATGTGCTTGTCATTATCGTGAACAATTCAGATAATAATGTTCAATACAACCGAAAATCAGTGAAAAGCAGAAAGATGTCCTTGGCAGGATCATAAAAAGGAATTGGAGAGCAGCCAGCGTCTGCATTCCTCTATGGCAAAGGAGTTTTGCTCATCTGCAAGTTAGAAGAAAAGGGAATTGTCCTTTTTGTTAAACCATCGGTTCCAATGGAGATAATTCCGCTCTGGAGTTAACTTAGGAGCATTCTTAGCTCTTAGATGGGAAACTCCTGGTCAGAGTCCCTTTGAGCTTCTGTGGACTTGGGGAAGGGTCACAGTCCCCCTCCCCCCCACCCTCTCTCCCCATACTTAGAAGTCTAGATTTGAGCCTGGTTAGAAATATACATACAAAACATAAATAAAAACAAACAGTACATTATGGTATAAGCCTTCCTGGCTATTAAGCTTTATCCAGGCCACTTCCTTGTTGCCATAAACTTGCTTTCCTATTATGTGTCCACTTCTCACCTGTTTATGGATAGGAAACCTTGTGTTTGCCGTTAATGGAAAAGGGCACTGTGGTACTTAGGCGTTTATAGGATATATATGTGTGTGTTTGTGTGTGTTTGTGCCTCCTGCCCCTTTCTCCCCAAGCAGCTCCGCTTTGGAATGAAACTGCAGGAAGAAAGTTGGGAGCCGCAGCAGAGGAAGGCGGCACATGGCCACAGAACAGCAGCGGGAACACCAGCCACGGCGGTGCCACGCAGAAAGAGATCACCTGGCCCTCCAGGCTGGTCTATTACATCAACCAAGACTCCGAAAGCCCTTACCACGTTCTCGACACAAAGGCGAGGCACCAGCAAAAACATAACAAGGTAGGCAGGGCACTGGGTGTGCGGAAGCGGCTGCCACAAGGAGTCACTTTTGGTTTGAGGTTCTGCCAGAATCTGATTTCACATATCTGACCGAAGCGTTTTTATTGGGCAGTCAGTGAATATCACGGTAGGGCAGAGCCTGGAGGGACTGCACCTGGGCTGTCCTGGAAGAGAGTTTGATCTTTCTCTTCTTCTCTGACTCTGAACTGGAATCGGAGTTTTCTCAGTGGTCTCCTAAGTGCAGCCGCTGGCATGTGGTCCCCGTATCTTTTGGGTGCATTGGACACTGAACAGATAGTAAAGTGACGATGTTTATGACCCTGACTTACATCTGCGAGGCTTCCTGTGAGGGTGCAGCATGCTCCCTCCCATGGTGACAATCGCCGTACAGTCTGGACACAGGCGATTGTAAGGCGAGGCTGTTTGGCTGCAGATGAACATAGAAGTTGAGTATTTAAGTTTAAGCAACTTCTCTCTCTCTCTCTCTCTCTCTCTCTCTCTCTCTCTCTCTAATGAATCAATAGGAAAAAAATACTTTGTCTTATATTTTCAGTAGGTAAAGAAATTGACATTGAAAAAGACTATGGTGACTATAAAACCATTCATACACTGTAGCGACCGGCTTTCGGTCAACATAATCCTTCAGACTTTACCTGCATTCGCTGTAAGTGGTCGCTTTTCTTTCTCTCAGGTTGGTTCAGAGAGTGGCCCTGCAGGTGGGGCAGGTGGAGGTGCTTGACATCCACCAAAGACTTTAAGGGACTTTCTCCCTCACTGACTATTCTTTATTTGAGTTCATAGTGTTTTGGACCCCAGCGGATGAACGCATTGGGTTATCCGTGCCTCTGCTCTTTATCAGGAGCAGAAAATTGAGTCTGTGTGTGTCAAATATTTTCCTTTGGATTATTTCCGTTTAGTTGAGAACAGTAACCGTCTAAACACCCGGAACTTTAGAAAAGTATCTGCGGTTTACATGATTGTTTTTATTAGTTTTCTACAATAGAGGTAAATGGTAACTATTTATCAAATGGGGAATTAGAAATGTTAGTCTTTGAGGGGAACTGTCCCAAGATTGTAAAACGGTTCATATAAAAATTCCGAAGGCCTGAATAGTTAAGTTTTACAAGCCAGGTTCCTGAGAAAATGCTTCCTTCATACTGATTATTATTGGAGAAGTTAACTTGGTTTCACAGGATTATGGAGTCGCTGCTGCCCACCGCAGCTGAGAGGAATGGGTCTCTGATCTTACAGTCCTCTTCCCATCAGCTCCTATGTTACAGAAAGGGTTGATTCCTGGATCATATCTCCCCATTCGTCTTGTTTCTAGGGGTGGTTTCTTTACAGTAGAAGAGTCCAGTGCTGTCTCCAGGAGTGCTTTGAGGCCCTTTTTATGGCTGTCCTAATTAAAGAGACCTTCTATGGTTAAGTGGCCAGCTTTCAAACTCCTGTGTCTTTGCATAAGATATTGGAGGAAGTAATAAAAATGGCCTCAAAGGCTAATTTAAAGAATGCCCAAGCCCTCCTGAGCTGAGATTTGGAAGAAATTTCAGGGGAACTTCTTTGTAACTCAGGTGTTGGAGGCCATGAGTGATACCTGTCTCATAGTTTAACCTTGTGTGGTAGTATATGGTTTGACTACAATATGTCTGAGTTTCTATGATAATGGGTTTGTTAAAACTCCACCCACCACTCAAGTTGAAGAATAGATTTTCACTATGAACCTCATACTTGTTGGAGATCCTACCTCTCCACTTTCATTTCCCAGGCTCCTTTTATCTTAAAAATATGTTTACAGAGAAATTGTATTTGAACTTTTCTTCTTTTTTTTTATTATTTTAATAAATAAACATTGGTTGCATGTTTCTATGTGCAAAGTACTATGCTATCGATTCAGAGATAAGAGGTAAAGGGAACCAGGAGGAATAAGACATATATGGTTTCCAGGAGACACAAAAATGAGATAAGCAGTATTCTCAGAAGTGCTCCTATACAGTTATAAACTGTTCTTTTAAATGGCACAGTTACTGAAATTTCCCGTTGTGTTCTGTGATTTCACTCTTACTTCTGTTTTTAAGCGTCTCTTAAATTAGTCGACCAAAAGAGTTTCCAATGCTTTCTGCTTGTATCTTGATGACTTGCCTAATAATTGTGATGATAGAACTTGTTAGTTTCGCTGCTTTACAAATACTTCAGTAAGAGAAGAAGTACAGAATTTCACCATTTTTTTATTTTATAAGTTTTGATTTTAATATCTCTGTAGCATGCACCTTTTTTTTTTCTTCCCTGATTTCATTGCACTCAAGCATATTTTAATGAATGTCTGAGAAATGCTGAATCATTGTGCTATTCTCCTGGATTCTCATAGTTTGGGGGTAGACATGGAGAGGTAAAGTCCTAGATATAGGTTGCAAGGTAGAGCTCTGAGTTTATTTCATAAACATTCAGTGTTGATCAAGCCTTATTACTTTGCAGCTGTGAAAGTTAAAATGTTTAACTCTTTCAAAATTGGTGAGTTCAAGAGCAGATGGTACAAAACATCTCTGTAATGCCAGTGTTTTTGAAAACCTTAAGGTTTTCCTTGTGGAATTGTTAATGGAAAATATTAGAGTTAAACCTCGGTTCTTGAGTTAGGTGAAGAAAGAATTCAGAGCAAAGAACTCTGATGCAAGAGAAAGTTTATTTAGAAAGTTACAGAGGTTGAAGTAGTGAGCCAGTTGGGCCTAATGGACTTAGGAAACAAGTTACAGAGGCAAAAGAAGGGCCCTTGGAACTTGGTAGAAAGAAAGCAAAGGTACCTGCCTGAGAAAGAAAGTGCAGTCAAGAGAGAGCGAGAGTGAGAGCAAGAGATAGAGACAGAGGCAGAGGAGAGACTGAGACTCAGTCTGCACAAGCACACCCTGTGCCCTTCATCTTAAGGATTTTTATTTATTTTTCAAAGGCGAAAACTTCAGATGAGTTCTCTGGAGGATCTCAATAGAATGTTTATTAGCTTTCCAATTGTGTGTCCTTTCAAGGTTGTGGTTTCTACTGATTGGTGGACACTAGGGTAGAGGGTTTTTAGTCATTGCATCTGGTCCTGATGCCAGCCAGTCATGTTGTTGCTTGGTTTGGTTTTACTGTTCTTCTGGCCTTGGAGCTAAAACACAATTGAGGCCTAGATATTTTCTCTAGTTTGACCAAAACTCTGTTTCTGTGGTCCATAGACCCAAGGTTTTGTTCCTAAGATTATCTGATGCTGATTAGAATCTCATTGTCCTAATGCTTAATGCTTAACAGAATGGTCATGCAAGGACTTGGGTGGAAGTTGTTTGAGGCTGTTCTCTGGCCCCTTTTTCCTTCCTTTAAGGGAGTCTAACCTGGATGACTAGCATCACTCTAAGTGAGAAAAAGTCAGGCCCTAGCCAATAATAGTTGTTTTCTCTAATGTTGCCTGCTGCTAGGTACCCAGGACTTTCTGCCCTGGTGCCATTTTGTATCTGGCCTCTTCCTGCTCTGCTCATGCCTGTCTAAATATCAGAATCTTTTTTTTTTTTTTTTAAAGAATGTGTTTTCATTGATTTCAGAGAGAGAGAGAGAGAGAGAGAAAGAAACATCAATGATGAGAGAGAAACATTGTTTGGCTGCCTCCTGCACACCCCCTACTGGAGATTGAGCCTACAACCTGGGCATGTACTTTGTTTGGGAATTGAACCTTGACCCCTGATTCATGGGTCGATGCTCAACTACTGAGTAATACTGGCTGGGCTCTATCAGAACCTTTTTATCTCCAGATAGGCTGATAGATGGCTTATTTGTCCAACTTCTCCTTTTTTGAGAGTGAAAAAGGACACACTTAATAATTATTCCAGGACAACAGGCATAAACCAAGATGGTCCAGAGCAGAGGGGGAATGTGGTCACCTCAGTTCTAAGTGGTTATTTGTTTTTGGTGCTTATTCAAATTCAAGTTTCTTCATAGTTTCTTTTCTTTTTTGATGATTTATTGTAAAATTTTCTTACTAGCTAAGGTGTCAGTTTACCATGTAGAACTATTAGGGTCTGAAATGGAAAAATTTAGTTTTGATTTTTTTACCAAGACATATGTTCTTCATTTGTAGATACTTTTATGAGCATAAACAGAACTTTTATGGTTACTAAACGTAAGCATTTTATTAGCCATTAATGCAATATATGAATAAAATGGAACATACATTTAAAAAGAGAGAAAAACTATTTACATTCTGTCCTTCATTCATTTAATTGGAGATAATTTTTTTTGAGGTCTGTTCCTAAAAAGTTAATTAGTCTGTGGGGGAGGAAAAATAATTATTTTCTCTACCCTATTAGGTACGTGGCCGAGACACACACTGTGTTAAAAGTCAGATTAACAGGAGAACAGCAAACAGAAATTTAAAACATGTTATGTAGGAGAGGCCCAGGAAAACTGAGTAACTCTTCAAAATGGCCCATGCCATCACCTGACATAACATCTCCTGCTAAAGACAAGATCTTGAAGATGGGGAACTGGCTGTGGGAGGGTACAGGGAAAGCACTATAAACAAGGTTAAGGTTGTTATGCAGACTTCAGTCTCTGCCTTCTCCATTGATAAAAGTTTCTAGAAATTTTAGTCACCCTCCTCTTCCTGCTACATAGAGGGAGACGGGTGGTGTATTCTCCTCCTGTTCACACCTTTTCCTGAAACTTTCTTTTAGTCAAAAATTATTGGACCTATATCCTACTGTCTTGGGATTCTTTTCTCTGCCACATACAAAGGGATGGATGAGGTACACTGTGCATATATAGCACAGGGACTGGGGACGATGAATGTCATCTCTTCTGACTCTAGTTAGCCTGCTTAGGCTCAGTCTTTTGTTACTTATCTGCTGCGCTGGGGAGAAAGAGCGGGTACTTTGAATTAAGAATAGGCAGACCATGTCCAACTGAAAGAGAGGGCACAGCAACCCACACTTGGTAGGCAGGTAGTTCCTCAGCCTCTGAGCTCCCACTTTGGGGAAGTGAAA